TTAAATGCATTTCTTCAATACTAAGTAGGGGTGTAACGGTATACGTACCGAATCATTTCGCAGCATTCAGAGTAATTTTTTCGCAGCATTCAGAGTAATTTGCTCACATTGGGTTAAACGCGTCATAGAGCGACAAAGTAATTTCATTGGACGAGAGGCATTCTATGAGAGCTGGTCACAGGGATACGTTCAAATGTAGTCAGTAATTTGAGGAACTGTCTAAATGGCGAACTGTCTAAATGGCGAACGCAGATAAAGTTGAGCTCCAGCATCATTGAAGTCTCCGGTTTGGGAACATTTTGGTTACGTACAAGGATGAGGGACAAAGACAGGTGGACCGAACCAAAGCTGTTTGTCGGCATTGTTCATCTAAAATTGGTTACGCGGCTGGCAATACATCAAAATTGCACACTCATTTGAAAAGGCATCACCCGAACGTGAATATCACCAAAAGAAAAAAGACTGAAGTGCAAACCCAACTCCCCCCTAGCAGTTAAGCCTCCACCACTCGCAAAAAGTTCAGACCAAGCCAAAGCTAAATATCCTTAAGTTGCCATGTTAGCAAAGCGCTACCTGGCTGTATCAGCTACCTCTGTCCCTAGCGAGAGGGTGTTCTCCACAGCAGGAGACATTGTTAGTGCCAGCAGATCTGCCCTTTCAGCAAGCAATGTGGACAAGTTAATTTTTCTTTAAAAAAACATCAAAATACAATGACAAGCAAGTCATAATGTCAAACTGGCTGCTTAGTACAGTACAGTACAGTTCAAATACAGATTATTTCAGTTCATCGAAATGCTGCACCTTAATGTTTATTTTATTATATTTTGTATTTATTTGAGTGAATATTCACAGTTTAATAATAATTTAAAAAAAACTAAATATATTTTATGTTTTGTGATAATTTTTTCTGCTGTACCGAAAACGTACCGAACCGAACCATGACCTAAAAACCGAGGTACGTACCGAAATGTTTGTGAACCGTTACACCCCTATTATCACTGCTGTGGAAGCACTTTGGAAATGATGCACGCGCAGCAGAGAAGGTCACGCGCACCTGACACAATTTGTTGTTAGTATTTTTCGCTCCGTTCTCTTTTTTGAATAGAGGGTGCATAACATTCAACTGCACCGAAGAACCCGACGCGAAGCCTGAAGGGTAAACACACCAGGTTTACTAATCTACTCGCACAATTTGTCTGGTGTCTGAATGTCTCGCTATGTTAGTACATTCTTAAAAAACAAAACACCATTTCATTTCGGGTTAAAATGTGAGCATTGTAACGGGTAATATATTACCCACATTTCATTAGTAATGCGTTACATTACTTTGTTACAGCAAAAAGTAATATATTACTGTAATTGTTACTTTTGTAACGCGTTACCCCCAACACTGCTCACGAGTGCCTATTTTCTCCAGGACAACTTTTTTTTTTTACTTTTCCCCCATGTATTTTCTTCAGTTTTTTTTTTTTTGTGGTTATCTCTCAAAATCACACCCCGGGTTTTTACCGGTAACAAGCTGCGGTCTCGGTGTCCCGCCACGCCTGTGTCTAGCCCCACCCCGCCCACAGTTTTGAAAGCTTTGTGCTCTTTCTTTGCCATAGCCCTACTTTGGACTATATGAAATATTTCAGGATTGCCACTTTAACTCACTTGG